GGTGGGACCCCTGGAGCTGAACAAGGACAACGCGCGGCAGTCCTCGTCGTCGTCGTCCTCGGCGTCGTCGGCGGGCGTCGCGGCGCGCTCGCCGCCGGCCAAGAAGCGCGGGCGCTCCCGCCGGAGGACCCTCATCGCGTGGCTCACCCAGGGGAGGCGCAAAGAGGTCCCCGCCCAGCTCGGCACCCCCATGTGCTCCATCCCCGCCGCCACCAACCACTACACCTGCACCAACCTCGACGAGCCCTACAACCCCGTTAGCGAGGTAAGGAAACGTGGATGGTATTCCTGCGGGCCGATTTTTGAAATTTATAGACAAAGCTATAGTCAAAGAAGACATAAGGAGTATAGAGCTATCCTATTGGTTGAAATGGCCCAGGCCCCTAAATTAGGAAAAGTTGAATTTGCAGTCTGAAGCATGCGGAGGAGAGGAAGGTTCCAAGGATTTCTGAGCCTCCCTCCCCCTCCACCGACAAAAAATTTTCTCAGACTTTTCTGGCGATTTCAGACTTTATAAAACTCTGACCCCTCATTCTGTTGAAAAATGATTGGCTTCGTACAATCCCTTCAGGGGCAACTCCTGCGGACTGATTATTGAAATTGATAGACAAAGCTATAGACAAAGAAGACATAGGAAGTATGGAGCGATCCTATCGGTTGAAATAGGTGATTTCTAGAGACTAAGGGGGTAAATGATGGACTAATCGGATCTCTCCTGGGTTGCCGTTAGTTAGTCTATTACCTGCGTCCTTCGTCCATTGCACCACCCGCCTCCACCAATAAGATCCATCCATATCCTTTTTGTCTTATTTGTCTTTTACTTTGTGTTTCAATTTCAATAATCAGCCCGCTGGTCGTTTCTTAATTGGACGTATTTAACAAGGTTGCCACAATCAGGGCATACCGGGAAAACCTGGAAATGTTAGGGAATTCAATAATAACAAATTAAACAGCGCGTAACAAGGCTAATTTTTACACAAGCATCACCAAAACGTTCCGACTGAAAACTCAGCCTTCTTTAGTCGGATGAAAACAGAACAAAATTGTAAAAATCTAAAAATGTAGCACTTGGCTGTACCTTTCAAAGCGAGAGGAATGTTGTTGTGCTATGAAATGTTGTTACCCGCTGTTTAATTTGTTACTGGAAACGCCCGCATCATCCAACAAATTGGGGTAGTAGCGCAATTTTACGGAATAACCCCTATCACTTCCCCTCCGTGAACTTCGTCTTAAAATCATTTACCATCATCTACCCCTATTCATTAACCCTTGAAAGCTTCCGATGAGCGTCACTCATTGTCCAACAACCCTCCCTCAATCGTCTCGTTAGAAGTTTGGACAGCCAACGCCTCGCAGAAGCCGCATAAACGCTGGGAAATGTTCTGAGCGGGCAAAGCCAGGAGGATATGATGGATCTTCGGATTCTCGGGTGCCAATAATTATGCGCATAAAATCTTTGAATATTTGCTCGGCGGTATACCTAGTGTCTACAGCAGCACCCTCACCTTCCCCTACTGTCAACGGTCAGCCATGGTTGTCACGTCATGGGCGAAACTATCGACCTTCGAAAAAAATTATTGAATCGTCCAGGTTGAAAAAGAACCCACCTCTGAGGGGAAGAAAGTGAGAAGAATGAAAAGGACTGATTGAAATTTGGAACTAAAATTATTTAATTGTATGGAAATATTTTTGGGGGCATGTTGTCAAGCTATTAAACAGAGACTAAAATGTAGTGGCACCAAAGTTTCCGATTTTTCAGTCCGGGAAATATAGACTATTTATGCTAAAAGAACTACCAACGAATGAATAAAAGCATAAAGAAAGTTGGGCTTGCGTGCTTTTTGCAATTTTGGCCTTGGAAACAGGCGGTTAAAAACTCCAGAGATAGATCGTTTCAAAACTGAACGAAATCCATCAAAGTTATTGTCAGCGTCTGAATACAACTATTCATACTTGAGAGTTATCCTCGTTGCATACCCCAAATATTGAAGGCATTTTGGATCTGGACTCAATCGCCGAGCCAACATGTTTCAAGCTAACGAAAAGTTGGAAGTTGAGGAATGACTCTGCGCTGATATCTTAATTGGTCAGTTGCATTTTGCAAGAGCAGTCCAATGCCCCTAATATTGTGCACCTTTTTTTACCTTGCAAACATAAACTGATCATCTAAACGAGTTTTATCTTTACTCCCAATAAACTGCAAATTCAAGACGAAAATGACCTTTGTAAATTTAATTTCATGCGTGATATCAGTAATTCTATTGCAAAAAATATAATTTTCACAATCTTAGTAACATCGGGATGCTCTTGGTTCCTTTTTGCAAAACGCAATCCAATTCATAATAGGTGAAACAAAGATAAGCAACCCTACTTAATGAGCTCTGACCAGCAAAAAAAGCTTTTATGGCCAGCACTACTGAGCAAGCAAGTTATCAGCTGAGATTCATTCCTCAACATCTTTCCGTAAACTTGTAGCGGAGCTGTCAACTTGTAGGCGGTGGGGTCCAAATCCAAAATGCCTTCAATTTGTGGTGTATGCAACGAGGGTAACTTTCAAGCTTGAGTAGTTGTGTTCAGGCGCTGACTCTAAACGCGGCACGCCTGATGAGAGTCATATTGGCTGAAATCGTCCAGCTCCAAATCAGTCTTTTGCACCAGACATAGACTGGTTTTTTTGTTGCTTCTTGATAGTGATGCGAGTTTGTGGCAGCATTTAAAACTATGCAGATTATTTCTGTCTGGAGTATTTTTTTTTTTTTGCATAACACGCGTATTTCGTATTTAATTTCCTCACCCGGTACTTTCAGAATATTAAGTAAAAAACACAAAGTTTAGTGACCCCTTGACTTATAAGACCGGACGAAATTTGGACGGATTCCATCTACAAAATCAACCATGGGGCGATCTTAATAATGGACCAACCAGAGCGATCGAATCGTCCTGTAACTTCGACAACGCTGCAACGATGCACATATCAGCGGACGATGGTGCAGCAGTAATATGCTAATAAGACGGTAATAAGTCTTGACCGACTAGAATCCGCCGTCAATACTCCTCTTCGACGGGGATCGCAGCCAGGGAACAAAGTGAGCAAAGTTATTCAAAAAAGTTACGATGAAACCGCAGCGACTGAGGTGCTGCCCCAACCCCC